CGTGTGCTATCCTCATGTTCAACTTTCTTATCATGTTCAGAGTGTTCTTCATCTTCTTCATTGTCCATCAACCAATGTTCAGCTTTTTTTCGTTGGCCTTTTCACATGGATTTTTGACAGTTGTAAACCGCTTCTAGTAGTTATGTCTTGCACATTTTCTTCTCCTGAGTATTTAAGAAGCCTCTAAGGGAACAAAATTAGAAGTACATGTGATTTAAATGGAACGTGTGCCTAAGTCTGTGGATTGTAGAAAGTATTGTTCTCAATAATGTTAATGTTGTGCGCCTAATCCCATATATTGGTCTCAGTATTACTACGCAAGATACGGTCTTTCTGGCTATTAAGTCTTATATTTCTTGATTCAGACTTGCTGGTTTCGATAATTTATTTCCAATATGATGAAGCACTTTAACTATCTTACGCATGTATTGCTGAATCATTTTCCCAAACTTAGTGTTCTCTCGTGTTAAGTTATTGGCATTACCACTATTTTGATCGTCAGGTCATCTAAAATTTGGTTGTTGCTTCCATTCTCGATTGTATGTTTGTGAGTATGGCTTATACTGCAGGCATTGATCATTCTGTACAAAATTTAGAGTGTGTTTGGCCCCCATTTTTTCCAATTTTTTCCAACCATTTTTCAAGATTTGTATGCCCCATGTCAAATAATAACACGACTACCCTGACAAAAACTGAGGCCAATTCAGTTTCAGGCTTTTGTTTGAATATTGGAATTTCTGTCTTTCCATTTATGCCCTTCAATTGGAATTTTATTCTTCCCATTTGCTGCCATTCAATTGGAATTTTATCCTTTCATCGAGGACAAAGTAGTCATAAGATCTCGATGGCATGATATTGCCTGTATACATTTCTGACAGCTAATTGAGTGTTGGACGCTGTCATCTGTCAAATACTGTAGCAAAATGAGTTTTGGCAAAAAAAAAAAAAAAGGGGGGGCTCAAAAGGGGGCTTAATGTTCAGTTTCCAATTATATGTAATCCTTAGTGTCCGTTTGATTGCAATGTGTGGAAAGAAAAATATTTTACAGGAAATTGATTTTCCTAGNTGGTTTTGGGATGGAATCTCACTTGAGCTTTGTGGAGTGGGCTTGGGCCTTGGGTAATTGCTCTCAATAATTCCCTAACAGCATTACCACTATTTTTGATTGTCAGGTCATCTAAAATTTGGTTGTTGCTTCCATTCTCGATTGTATGTTTGCGAGTATGGCTTATACTGCAGGCATTGATCATTCTGTACAAAATTTAGTGTGTGTTTTGCCCCAATTTTTTCCAACCATTTTCAAGATTTGTGGGCCCCATGTCAAATAATAACATGGCTACCCTGACAAAAACTGAGGCCAATTCAATTTCAGGCTTTTGTTTGAATATTAGAATTTCTGTCTTTCCATTTATGCCCTTCAATTGGAATTTTATTCTTTCCATTTGCTGCAATTCAATTGGAATTTTATCCTTTCATTGAGGGCAAAGTAGTCATAAGATCTCAATGGCATGAAATTGCCTGTATACATTTCTGACAGCTAATTGAGTGTTGGACGCTGTCATCTGTCAAATATTGTAGCAAAATGAGTTTTGGCAAAA